TAAAAATATTTGGAATGTTCTGAGAAATTTTAGAATGCTCTTCAAGTATCCAGGAAGATTCTGAATATATACTGCGTTCACACTATGCTCAGTTATCCCTATAAATTGCGAATTAGGTCACAATTCTAATTAATGCAGTAGTATGAATGCAAGAGGATTTCTGTAATGCGAATTTGCCAAATCCTGCAAGCGAGGTGGATTTCTAAGTAAACAGTGCGGAGATATATTTGCGCATGCGTGGTACATGGCAGAAACCCTGCCAGTGTGCGTCTTCTCTCAGAAAGACTACTATGTGTGTCAAATATGAGGGGTTGTCCAAATATTCTTTGTTTTGCTTTAAAATGTTTTTTCCCGAAAAGAAAGCGGAAAAAATTCCAGAGAAATAAACATGTAGGTATTGCAGCCTTATTTCATATTGCTTGATGCAGCGCATGTGCAGTTGTTTACGCAGGAAGTTTCACCTGGATTTTGGCTTTGCCGATGCGGGTTCCACTGTACAGTATGAATGCAAAACCGAATCGAATTTCTCACGAAAAATTCGGACTATAGAAATGCGCATTTTTGCAACTGTAGTGTGAATGGGGTAATAGTGAGGATTGAATCTGACAAACTGCACTGATAACACACAATAACAGATTTAGCATCATTTTTATATAATCAACTAACAATATTGTTAAGATGCTGAAAATGTGAAAAGAACACCTTAACATATCTTATTCAATACTGTGACTGTTAACATACCTAAGAATTGAATCTGAGAGAAAACCACTTATACAAAAAACAACATAACTTCAACAAAAATGAGCCAATGAAGCTGATTTTGAGCTTGATCTTTATATTGGTCCTATGAATCAGTTGTGTGTTTTTTAAAGCAAAATATGACATGGTTTTCTGTATAACAGTGGATAAAAGATACTGAAAAAAGCGAAAAAAAAACAGCATTACTTTAAGAAAAATGTTCTAATCAAGCAGATTTTCGAACTTGACCTGTATTTTATGAATATCCATCAGCTCTTAAAGTTTGAAGACAAAAGTTAAATCTGTTTTTGGTCTATTTATATAATGGTGGATAATTTATGCTAGAAAAAAAAAACAGCATAACTTTTGAAAAAATGGTTCGATCAAGCTGATTTTAGAACTTGACCTGTATTTCATGAATATTCATCAGTTCTGTAAATTTAACTTTCGGAAAAATGGTCCGATCACTTATTGATATACCACTTAAAGTGCTCAGCATGATGACCACAGACACGGGTGATGGCCTATTCTATGCAGTAAAAGCACTGCAAGTTCTTTAAAGAAATTTAACTGTTGTGATTATAAATTATGTATCTGAAATTTTGTTAATTTTTGTCCATTGAAAAAAAGATCTAGTCACTACTGTACACTTCTTAATTGGAATGCCCACATCTATCTTTCAAGCAGGTCTTCAAGACAAAGTTTCGGTAGTAAATCCAGTAGTTTTTAATGGGTGGTTCCCCAAACTGATATTCATCTACAAGGCCTCTTACTGTCTCTTACTGAGTCAAAGCAAAATGAATCTGATTAGATCTGAAGATGGTATATTTATCCTGCTGTGGGTGCCTTTTCTGTATCCACAACAATGAGAGATGCTATCTTAGAGCTCTGCACTTGAGTTTATGCATAACAATAATGTGCTGTGTGTTGGATAGAGAGTTAAGGCAGGTGTTCATATGAGTGCGGATCTCCTTGTACACCAGAGACTTACCCCTCAGACCTCATCAGCTCTGCAGCTTGTGTGGCCACAAAGCAGCCATCGAAGGAGGTAAGATGATTTGGTTTTGACTGTTGGTTGCACCTTCCCAATGGTAATATTTTCAAAATAACAACTGCTAAGTTTTTTATTGATGGAGTGCTTTATTGTGATTAGAGTCTTGTGGAAATCCTTTGGTTATTAGGATTAAGTGTTCTGTGTCTATATATATATATAAAGTTAGTCCCAGTTTTTTTCCTATAAAGTTTGTTTTTTGTATTAATCTCTTAGGATATTATTATGGAGGTATAGCTATCTGTAGGAGTCACATGGTCGATGGCAAGCACTGAGTCCAGAATACCCCAGTTTGGTGGTATAATAGTATTTATTATATATCTATGAGTTGTTTACAATGATTTTTTGTGAAATATGAATCTCATACAAAAGGTTTTTATCCCTTAAAACTTGCTAGATTTACTGCTTGGTCAGTTTATACATATTTGCATTACTGTCACACTTTGTCAAAAATGTTCAAAATTGAATATGAAATATCTCCAAACCAAATGAATAATGACAAAAGTTACTGCAGAAATCTGATCAAAAGTCAAACATTTCTTCCTCCAGGTGATAACCCTTTATATTATTTTGCACATTTTGTTATATCAGTGTTTCCCCTGGCTTTCAAGCTCTGCGAGGTGGTAGGCAATTCGCGATCCCAGCACAAACTAGGGGGGTCCGGGGGCATGCCCCCCCGGAAAATTTTTAAAATTTGGTGCAATTTGGTGCATTTTAGGCCATTTAGAACTGTTTTTTATTACATTATTTGTGGCACAAAATTGTCTTGTTTTACATGTTTAAAGGAGTGAATTCAGTAATGACATAACAAAGGTTTGGACAAAAAAATCTCATTTATTTTCAAGTCTGTGCATTCACTAGTCCTTTACAGTTCACAGTTTACAGATTTCACAGTCATCTTTGGCACACTTCACTCTCCTGTTGGGGTTCCTCATATAAAAGGAACGCACCAACTGTCCGAAATCAGTTTCCTTTGGGTCTGTGCCAAAACCTGAAATTCTTATACAGGCAGAGAGGTGATCTTTCTCCAGCCTGTTTCTCAGAGGAGTCCTAACCTGAAAAACCAAAACACATATATATGATAATAAGGCAATTTCAGATTCATCTAAAAAGAAAAATGCATTTATTACTTTAAAAAAATACTTTTTGCTATTGGATTATTTGCACTTACTCTTTTCATTGTAGAAAATAATCTCTCCACCTCTGCTGTGCTCAGAGGGATGGTTAGACCAATACCTGCAAGCTTGCTCAGTTGTGGGTACAAATCCCTCATTTCTGGGGTTTGCAGAGCAAGAAACACATCCTCCATAGACTTAGACTAAAATGAAACATATTTCATAATTCAGTTATTGGCATTTAACATTTGTAAAAAGGAAATATATTCTCAATTTGTAAGACAAATTTGACCATCACACAAATCCTACATACCTTCAGTTCATCTGTGGTTATCCTGATAGAGAACACCTCCCATTCATTCAGGGCATCCCTGACATTAATTTGTCTGAAGGCAGTCCCTAAAGACTCAATGTGTTGCATCCCAAACTCTGGATCTTGTGGCAACTGTGCCAGGACAATGTTTGGATCAAAAATCTGAAAATGCTCCAGCAGTGGAAGACGCGGAAACCTCTTTTCAAGGTTCTGGACTATATTGTCAATAAATGGAGTAACAACCTAAAAAAGAGCAAAAATGATAGTGAGGTTTCGAAAGATAAATTAACAGAAAGGAACTTACATTAATAAGCAAGAACTCTCCACTGATTTCAACACATTAAGAACAATGAATAGTGACACACCTCTGCAATGTAGTCATCCCACTTGTCTTGAGTAAACTGGACACCTGTGAAATTCAGACAACCACCCTCACTAAACATCTCCTCAGTTTCTCTCTTTAGCACTCCACGGGTCTCAAGTCTTCTGAGAGAGGCTATAGTTGCTGATAACTAAAATCCAAATGGCAAAAATGATTAATGTTTGAGAAGCAATGGTAGACATCAAACAGAATTGCCTATAAATCATTAATATATTTTTTGATGACATAAATAGCTGGAGTTTGGCCCACCTTACCTCCTTGTTTGCTGTTTTGAAGAATATGTTTCTTTTTTGAAATATCTTAAAACATCTAGCCAGTCTGGTGTGGACGGCTCCCAACACAACCAATGAGGCTACAAATTTGAAAGTGTTGATAAAGGAATGTAGCCCATTTGCCACTGCATCAGTAAGAGCCTGCTGGCTAAGATCAGTGATGACTGCTGGAATGGTCTGCAGAAGGACATCAATGGCTTTCTGTTGGCTTGTCCAGCGTGTTTCTATCCCTCCCTGTCAAGATAAAAATTGCTTTAAGCAAAACCATGCCCTTTTTGCTACCAGATAAAAAAGTTGAGATGTGAAGTGTTTTGCAAAGTATGTCTTCTGCATAACAAAGCTTACCTGGCACTTGAGCTCTGGTACTTCCAGCAGTTGTTGTATTGACTTTAGGCTATTGGACCTCTTTGGGCTGTTTTGGTAAAACCAAAACAAGTTCTTTAGCTGCCTCTCAAATTTGTCAAGATAGTTTGTCTTTGCTGCAGCTTGGGATATCGCCAAATTCAGGCGGTGAGCTATACAGTGTATCGACAGGAGATCAGGAACCTGTTCTCTGAGGCGAGTTGCCACACCCTTTTTGGTCCCTGAAGGAGAATTTGCAATTGAATTACTACAGAGTTTATTGCTTATGGCAATATTTCTGTGAACATATTGTTTGCAACAGAAAATGGTTACAATACCTATCATAGCAGCAGCTCCATCACTGGCAAAAGAGAACAGGTTATTGAGATTTATGCCGTGTTTCAAGAAAGTGTTCACTAGTTCTGCATGAATAGTCTCTCCTTGGCCATTAGCAACAGGTACCAGGTCAAGGAAGTTTGTCTTGACTTTGCCTTTACTATCAATATACCTAAGATGAAAGTGTTATAGCTTTTGATAATCAAGAATTGTTCATAAATTTTCATGAAAGGCAGTCAGATTTCATTTTTAAAATTATTTGATAATATTTTGATCATAAGGGCTTATTCAAATTATTTTAAACAGTTTTATATTTATGGATTGCATCAACAGAATTATATAGTCAAATGTTCATACTTACATGACACATATCCCCAGCTCCTGTGTGATGCTGATGTCTGTGGCCTCATCAACCATCACACTCCAAGCAGGTGTGTCCCTTAGCTCTGTTGCCAGGGGTAGTAAAATGGACTCGTCTATTAACTCAAGGATTTCATCAATGATTCTGCGGCTGCAGTAATTGGTATTACTACCAACCTTAAAAAAAGTTTTATAAACTTCCTGTACTGATAATTAATAAAAATTATGAATGTATGAAATTATTAAATATGTTAAACATAGATCTTAAAATGTGTTTTTTCCCCAAAAAATTGTATTGAAATTACCTTTAGAGCTTCAAAATAGGTGCATCCACAAGCCACCATCAGTTCCAGGAATGGTTTATAATTGGTGTGATGTGCAATTTCTTGCCGCATCAACTGGTACATTAATCTGAAGCAACCCTCTAGTGCCCAGTGCTCAGTGTCTCCTAAAGGGGCTATTGCTCTTGGTAAAGTGTTACCTAAGGATTAATTCAGATATACACACCTTACAAGATTTCATTTTTAAAGATATTATTAATTAATTAATTTTTTTTTTTCATGTTCTTCTACAAATATTTTTTGTGTCTAAAATCACTGTCAGTGTGTAAAGAGTTAAGGTTATCTTTTTATTAAAGTTAATTGTTATTATCTTCATCTAATGGACAACTTTTTTAAAGTTATTAAAATTATAAAAATTACATTTCCTGATGACTTTACCTGCTCGTAATTCTTGCTCTGCTTTATTGCATCTGATGTGAGTATCAGATTTAGCATGCCTGACCACAACATCCTCTCTGTAGTTAGTTGAGGGATTGTCCACAAACTTAGCATTCCTTCCATCTCCATGAACATGCTTCCTGCAGATGCTGCATACCATCCCTGCAGCCAGCTTTAATAACCAGGGGTATTTCTGACACCATCCTTGATCAAACCCCCCTTGTCTATGCTTACTTTTCTAAAACAGAATATATGAAAACCAAACTTAACTGATAATCTAAAAGAAAATAATTAACATTGAAAATGAATAGATAATGTTTATAAATGGAAACCATACCTAAGAGCCCAAGTGAAATTAATATAGTAGAAGAACAGTAACAGTCTTCATGAAAAAAACAAATGTGAATGGTATTGACTAGACAATATCTTAGACTTCAATATCTTAGACTCCATAGTACCTTGTTTGTTTCAAGACTGCAAGATTGCTTTGCTGAGGGACACTGTACAGATGAACTAGAACCGGCAGAGGCATCAGAAAGAGCATCCTGTGCCAATCTTGATGTTGAGGGTTCAGCAACAGCAGTTCCTATAATGCTAAATAAAACGTTCAAAAATTAGAAAATATTTTTTTTTCAAAAAAAAAAAAAAAAAAAAAAAAAAGATTACTACTTTTATACTTTCAAGAAACAAGAAAAAGGTTTTATTACATCGAATTATTTTTAGAGTGACCAAAAAGTTGATAAAATATGTTATTCTTACCGTTTTTCTCCTTTTTGAAAGTAACTGGTCAATTGACTTTGCGTGTGGGAGCGCTTCATCCTTAAATGAAACTGCCGCAGAAAATGTTCGCTATCCTATCGCTCAGTGCAAAGTGACTCCCGCTATCAGCTCACTTACTTAGTTATTCGTAGTTTTAGACAACTAATTATGTAATTTACAATTAGCAATTTCAAACACCGTGAGTCTGCCTATCTGCTTTCCTTGCTCAGCAAGTCGTGCATGTAGTTTGAGGTGACTTATTTATGACTTATTATATAATTTATAATCTTCAATTTCAAACACCGTGAAATGAATTCTTCAGAATTAAAGAGATGAAAATCACTCTTATTATAAACTTGTGTTCTTCATTTGTTCATTTATATGGTTTTATTCACTCATAGAAAATCGTATTCAATGCGTAGCTCTCACACTAGCGCAAAAAGGGAATCCCGAAATACATGGGGTTTCCCCGCAAAATACTGACGTGACCCAGATTTGCAACGCTACTGCTTTCTCAAAACTAACCCGTAAATCAATAGAAAAACTTCTCCAAGTTTATGAAATCAAAGTGCACTTTATTTTTGTCATTAAATATACACGTAAACAATAAAAAAAAACATAACTAGAGGTCTTGCATTGTGAATTTCGGGACATGTCGAAGTGACAGAGAAAGTGTATTCTTGACACGTGACTAAATGTTTTCGAGAACAGTTGCCTCGTTTCGCTCTCTCGCACACTTTAGTACAATAAATACTCATATCCGAAAACGAGGCATTCACAAGGAGATTGCGACTGCTGTTCTCCACAGGCGCATGCGTATCTCCGTTACTACTCCACATTTGTGTTCAGAAGCATGGGATTACGTATGTACACTGAATGCCATATTCGCTTAGAAATAAAAAGAATTTTTAGTTAGAACGAGTGAAAATATACTTTGTTGTTCCATTCAGCCCAGCGAGGCGGTGCTTTTGACAAATTTCAGTGAGGCGCTTGCAAATTTCAGCGAGGCGGGCGCCTCGCTCATTTAAGTGCAGGGGAAACACTGGTTATATTATATTTAATACTATTTGATCTTGCTTTTTGAATCATAAAAAATGTGACTGTAGATGTCAAATCTGACCTTGTATTTTACTTAAATGGCACACTAATTGGAAAACTGTTTGACATATTCTTTTAAAACTTACAGAAATGATGAACCCATTTCCATAGATTTTAGATCGATCTATCCCTGTGGGGAGTCTCACTAGATTACTGTCAGCTTAGCCGGCTTAAGCATCTGTCCCGCCTACTGAAAGCTGTAAAGGGGTAATTAACTATGGTGCGCGCTCAGCTGACTGCAATTTAGCGTGAACCCCCAGGGAGATAGGTCGGTCTAAATCTTAATCCCTGGTTCAATCTAAATCTCTGGGAATACACCCTAATACTCAAATATAGGTGAGTTCAAAAACCAGTCAGATCAGATTGCTAATCTTGAAGTTATGCATTTTTTTGTAAAATGTTAATTTTCATAAATGGCATTTTAAAGGTATGACAGGTACAACAGAATCTTAATTGCCCCGCTCAAAAATGACTTTTTCAAACAGTGCTTCTCGGCATATGTGATGGCTACATGTATTGTTTCTTGCCAAACCTGTAAATATAGCCGAATACAAACTGCAGCACCCATAAGGCTAGTAGATATTATAATTACCACATCATACAATAATAAATTATATAATTGTGAAGTCAATTTTACTGCCGATTTTGTTATCAAAGGTACAGAAACAGGTCAATGACGTTGAACTTATTTTACCTTATTTACTCTCCCCGTAATTGGCATAAAATTATATTTCAGTATATCTATGCTTTTACAGCATAGAAAAGAGCTATAGCGTAGCCTGCTTTTTACGTACAGACCCAGATATGTCTAGCAAAGATACAAATCAAAATTAACAAAAACCTTATTTTGTGCGCTGCCACATTTTTATGTGATTTATGTCTGGCAAAGATACATACATCAAATTAACAAAAAATAATTTTGTGCATTGCCACCATAAGCAGCATAAGAAAAACTGTGTTGCTCATTTTGTTCATACTTCAAGGGGGATTGTTAAAACTAAAATACAGCCGAAGTTGGAAAACCAGCATAGTTTTCTTGGAGTAGTAGGTCTTTTTTGTGAAATATCCATCTTTAACATACTAAGATTTTCACTGAGTAAATTTAAAATCTCATGGGCCTGAAGCCTTACAATAGTTACATATTCATAGTTTGTGTTACCTGTTGTGAAATTTGGTGTTGATTTTGCTGTAATAATTTATTTTAAAAATTGGTGTTGATTTTGCTGTTAAACATTTTGTAAAATTGCATCAAAATTGACAAATAACTTATTACATTTTCTTTTTGTTTTGCTTATTTCATCATATATTATACTATATTCAATACAGAACACATTACGGGAAACTATGGAACTTAGATTTAAGGGGCCCGCACACCGGTGAGCATTTGGCGCGCGCCACTTGCACTGTGCCATTTTCATCTTTCTCATCTTTCTCTTGAGGCAAATGGCTCAGCGTGTGCAGGGTGCAAGCGCCAATTGCTCAAGTCATGCCAACAATGCGCATGTGCCGGTGGCCGGAAACAAACAAAAATGGCAGCCCCCAAGCAAAGTCAACAAAAATGTGCACAGTTACAGTTAGTCTGATTGATTAACGTGGTCACCATTTTCCATTACTACCAGAAAAAACAACAATATGTAATGTTTCCTTAAACACATGATCCCACAGTTCACAGTGCCTCCGCTAGGGGCAGACCAGGAGGCACTTCTGCTGAGCAAAGAGCGCAGCGTTTGCGGGGAGCTGAGGAGCGTGAGCATCTGGCTCAGCGCAAGTGGCGCGCGCCAATTGCTTACTGTATGTGGGGTGCTATAGGTTGAGTTTGAAAAACAGCCTGACAGAGTCATTCTTATGCATTATGCAATTTTTTCCATTTATACATTATGATTTTTATGTGAAATGTTTATTTTTCACATTTTGGTATTTTCAAGGTGTAACTTTAATCTTGCATGGTCCTGGAGAGTTTGCTAATCACATTTTCTATATATCTATATTATCTGCAGCGTATAATATTAAAAATTGGTAGTATTCAAAATGCCAAAAACACTACTTAAGGCATTGCTTTCCATAGTGACCACGTAAGATTCTTATGACTCTCATCTTACAAAGTAAGCAAAGCACTGCAATACAGCTTTAGGTGGAAGACCAGCCTGATTAGATTCTTTTTCTGGAAGTTATGCAGTCTTATGTGAAATGATCATTTTTCACATATAGTCATTTTCAAGGTGTGACTTAAGAGTTCCATGGACCTGAAGACCTTTAATTGTTACTATTTATGAATATCCATGATGCTTACAGTATCTTATTTGATGTTCGGAGTGATAATGGTGTTAAGCATTATATAATATTGCGTCAAAATTGACAAAATGTGCATCATTATTATTATTTGCTTTTTGTTTGTACATTTGACAACTTGTGGTATTAATTTTGTTGCTGCCACTCAGTAGGAATGTTCTCATTATAAGAAATATTGACCTTAATAGTATAGTATCTGTCATTTTCACAAATTCTTCCTATTGAAAAGATCTACTTATTCCTTATATGACTCAAATAAAGTAAACTTTCCAAGGTAAAAACTGAATTAATCACTCCATCTGCCATAAAAGAGCTATAACACTGCACCTCTTTCAAATTTCTGGTTGTAAATTGACTTACACGTCTTAGGCTTCATTCACATGCAATGTCTATTTTCTAAATTCTATTTTCTATTTGCGGTATGTCCTATGATCATGGTCTGTGCCCTGAATATCCCGCGGCGTAATTACTGGCAGTGCGAGCCAGTTACTATAAGTTACTATAAGTAACTGGCTCGCGCTGCCAGTAATTACGCGGCGGGATATTCAGGGCACAGACCTTGATCATAAGATAGCGCGAATAGAAAATAGAATTTAGAAAATAGACATTGCATGTGAATGAAGCCCTAGTCCTTCCAGTTCATAAAAGTCTGTCATATATGTAATAATATGTGGTGCATAACTGCTGCATATGCAGAGCCACAATTTTTCAAATGAGTTGCTGAAAACAACCCAGAGTTTGTATTGCATAGAAAGAAAGCATAAAATATCCAATCATGTATAATTTTTTGAGAAAAATGAAATTATGCCCTTTGGAAACTTTTAAGATATGCCATTTGAAATTGTATGGTGGCATTTGGTCATTTGGCAAAAAATTTGACTTCAGACATATCATTAAGAGACTAAAGGAAAATTCTTTTTGAGAATTTTAACAAGTC